ATTAGCTTAGGTTTGTGTTTGATATCGAAGAACTATAAAGTACTGATTTTGGCTGGTTTCCATGGCAACATTTTTCTAAAAAAAGAATTTTAATCATATTCCAAAGTAAAAGATAGGTTGCCAGGCAACGAAACATACGCCCACAGCAGCTATATCGTCCGGGCAGTCAACAAGAGTTGTCGCATATTTTTACTTTTTTCGGTAATGAAACATTTATAATACATTAAAATCTGATTAAGAGTAACAACTCATTAAGTAATTATCAGAAAACCATTAGAATTTGTTTGGTTTTTATAAAGTTCTGTCCCATGCTAATGTTTAGTATACAAAACTTTTAACATCATGGATTTAGCTGTTCATGTCATAAAGATTTATTGAAAATCAATATACTTGTTCGTCTCAAGACCTTAAACTCTGTGTACCAATCTGAAGTCAATCGGATGATAACTTTAGCCTCTAGAGCGTCACAAGATTTTTTCAAAGTGATCAAGGGCCATAAACACTGTGTATAAATTTGAAGTCAATCGGATATTAACTTTAGCCTCTAGAGCGTCCACAAGATTTTTTGAAGTGATCAAGGGCCATAACTCTGGCAGTAATTATCGGAAATCGCTGAAAATCAATAGGCTTCTTCGTCTCATGACCTTAAACACTGTGTATAAATTTAAAATCAATCGGATATTAACTTTAGCCTCTAGAGCGTCCACAAGCAATTGTGGACGACGAACGGACGGGGACGACGACAATATACGACCACATTTCAATGTGGGCAGATAAAAACAAATGCAACCCTCTTTATTTGATTGAAGTCCTGAATAAATATAACACATGAATTCCACCTGATTATAATTTTTATTTTCAACAAATTGTATCAGCGCCGAGTTCAAGACATGTTTACCATTAACCATGTCAAAATTGTCAATTGTCAACTTCTGTGTCAGTGACACAATGTTCTCTTTGGTGGGCTTTGCTCCTGTGTGCACACTACACTCTATTAATTTTTAATGTTTTCTATTCGGATTATCTCCCTTATCATTGTTAATTTTTTGATATTCTAATTTCTAACTCCTGACATCCACTGGTACAATATCACCATCAAGAAATGCAACACAGTAGCATTATTTCTATTGCACCCTTCTTGTAAATCATTGTTTGTCTTTTTATAAGCCCACATTTTCATGTGGACGTATTATGCCATCGCCCCTGTCCGTCCGGATGTCCGTCCACAATTGTTTGTGGACTCTCTACAGGTCACAATTCTTATCTGATTTCGACGAAACTTGAAATATAGGTGTATCCCCAAAAGATCTCGGCTGCTTTCGATATTGGCATGTATCGGATCGAAACTTCATGGATTATGGCCCCTGTTTGTACGAAAAATCACGTTTTTAGCTTGTGGACCCTATAGAGGTCACAATTTTGATCCGATTTTGTTGAAACTTGAAATGTAAGTTTATAACCCAAAGATCTGAGTTGCTTTCGATATTCGCGCATATCGGACAGTAACTTCCTGAATTATGGCCCCTGATTGTACGAAAAATCACGTTTTTAGCTTGTGGACCCTATAGAAGTCATAATTTTTATCCGATTTAAAAAAACGTTCTATTATATCACCGTTACACCCTAAGGATGACTGAGATCGAATTTCGTGAAAATCGGCCCAAAATTGACAGACAAAATGGCCGCCGTTCATTCCCAAATAGTGTAAGAATATGGTATATCAAGGTTGTGGACCCTATAGGGGTCACAATTTTTATCCGAATAGGGGTCACAATTTTTATCCAATTTTGTTGAAACTTGAAATGTAAGTTTATAACCCAAAGATCTCGGTTCCTTTCGATATTCGTGCATATCGGACCGTAACTTCCTGAATTATGGCCCCTGATTGTACGAAAAATCACGTTTTTAGCTTGTGGACCCTATAGAAGTCATAATTTTTATCCGATATATCACCGTTACACCCTTAGGATGACTGAGTTCAAATTTAGTGAAAATCGGCCCAAAATTGACAGACAAAATGGCCGCCGGTCGTTCCCAAATGGCGTAATTTGAATATGGTATATCAAGGTTGTGGACCCTATAGGGGTCACAATTTTTATCCGATTTTGTTGAAACTTGAAATGTAAGTTTATAACCCAAAGATCTCGGTTCCTTTCGATATTCGTGCATATCGGACCGTAACTTCCTGAATTATGGCCCCTGATTGTACGAAAAATCACGTTTTTAGCTTGTGGACCCTATAGAAGTCATAATTTTTATCCGATTTAAAAAAACGTTCTATTATGTCACCGTTACACCATAAGGATGACTGAGTTCGAATTTCGTGAAAATCGGCCCAAAATTGACAGACAAAATGGCCGCCGTTCGTTCACAAATAGCGTAAGAATATGGTATATCAAGGTTGTGGACCCTATAGGGGTCACAATTTTTATCCGATTTTGTTGAAACTTGAAATGTAAGTTTATAACCCAAAGATCTCGGTTCCTTTTGATATTCGTGCATATCGGACCGTAACTTCCTGAATTATGGCCCCTGATTGTACGAAAAATCACGTTTTTAGCTTGTGGACCCTATAGAAGTCATAATTTTTACCCGATTTAAAAAAACGTATTATTATATCACCGTTACACCCTGGGGACGACTGAATTCGAATTTCGTGAAAATAAAATCGGCCCAAAAACAGACAAAATGGCCGCCGTTCGTTCTCAAATAGCGTAAGAAAATGGTATATCAAGGTTGTGGACCCTATAGAGGTCACAATTTTTATCAGATTTTGTTGAAACTTGAAATATAAGTTTATAACCCAAAGATCTTGGTTCCTTTCGATATTCACACATATCGGACTGTAACAACATACACGTTAGCAAACAGTGTAGCAGGCATCGATATTTCCGCGCACATGCACACGTCGTGCGCAGGCACATTTGCTTTAAAAAACTTTTTTGCAGGCACATTTTTAAAAATTATTACTGTCACGTAAATCATGTAAAATAAAGAATACTATTTATTTTTATTGTTGTTGTTTTTTTGTTTGTTTACTTTGATTACCGTATAATAATTTACTAGAATAAGCTAGTCGATGATAAAAACATCAGCACGCGACGTTAGCGATTCCACCTGTGACTTATGACCTATCACCTGTGACCTCTGCTTCATTTACAAACTGCGCGCAGCGATCCTTCTACGTCATACTTCGAGAGCTAGCTGTAGACAGCCAGCCTAAGTTTGGGATGCTTAATTTAGTGACAATTCTAGTAGAATGCCAGTCGATGATTAAAAGAATAGCATGCGACGTATGAACTATCACCTTTTGATTTTGCATTAAAATAAATGGTAAATTAGATATGTTTTTAATTTAAATACACTGTAAGTGGAATATTGGAAAATAATTTAGGCCTCATCAGAACAACAGTTATTTTAGTTACGGTGCATGATCTTGTCATCGTCAAAGGAAACAACTCTTGTTAGTATCCGAATTATACCGGAAGTTAAGTTTAACGAATGACAACCTGGCTGCGCAAAGGGATTTAATGAACTTGTTTGAAGCCGGTAGCTATAGGCATCTATTCTATGTTTATATCAACCCCAAACAACAACAATATGCACATCAAACATAATCTTTATTATTAAAGTAATCTATAATACATTAATACAAATTACAAACCATAATAAAAAAGGTATATTTATAATTTCTTCTTCTGCCGAGTCCAAGAAGCGTTCGTAAGCCCCCCCCCCCCACAATCATACTATCCTGGCAATTGAATACTCTCCTTTTGAGTATGACCCTGCAGGCACATTTTCAAGTGTGTGCGCAGGCACACTCAACTTTTATAGAGCCCTGCAGTGTAGTAATATGGAGGGAAAGAATTTGTGCTTTGAAACATCTATGTAAAATAATATTAGGGTTTTGGTTAATTATTTTTCATTGTTAAAATATTAGCTATGGTATAAGTTAATTCTGAAACACAAATTAAAGTTGGTTAGGAATATTGTGAAACTAACAAGACATGGGGTCTAAAGACAAGAATGTGGAAATATGATGGATGGAACTATAGCGTTATCTTTCATATTATTGATTCTAACTTCATAACCACAAATATAGAAAGTATATGCTGGTTATTTTGATACGTTAACTAAGCTATAGATTAATGAACATGTTGGTCATTAACATTTTTTTTTGCTATAAAATATATATCATATTTGTTGACTAAATTAGGAAACAATCCCTGTAGATATACAGGTTTGGGGTGAATGTCCATTCCATATTTGGAATTTATCTGTTATCAGTTGTTTACGTAAATAACAGAGACAAAAGAATAAACAGAGACAAAAGAATATGCACCTATATAAGGGAGCGGGGCTAGAATAATTGGGAGAGATCATGTGGATTCTTTAGACGACTATTTCATGCGGTAGTGTTTTCCTGGGTCTAGCCATGCTGGCTAGGTTTTTACAGGTCTGGGGTTGGAGAGAAAGAGATGTTAATTTTAAATATTGTAATGTAGACTACTGTGTAACTGTTGTGACATAAAATGTTTAGCAAAAAACACTATCGTTGTTCCTGTTACTTATTTGAGTCGGTATCTTGAGAAAACACAATGGTGAAGTCCTTAAAGAAGAAAGATACAACAGTAGCAGTCCAGAGCCAACCAACCCCCCATTAGACGATCAGGCCAAAAACTAAGATGTGTAGTTTGATAGTACTACAACAGAGTATTTGATTGTTGTGTGTGTGTTTTTGATTAGAACTGATATTTTTTAAGAGTATGTTGTTCTAGGAACATGATGAGCTATAAAACATAAATTTTGATGGACATTTATGATAGATAGACGGAAGTTTGTTTTATTCTCTTTCCGTCTTTTATTTTGTAAGAAGTAGTACACGCTTTGTGAAGTTAATTCTCTGGCTTTTGCTTTCTTGTCATTTAAAGTTTTCACTTCAGTAAGACCAGTCAAAAAAATGGAATTGGCATTTATATTTATATATTACTATATTTCAGGCAAAAGAGTTTTTAGGAAAATATGCCACAGATAAGGCAAATGAGGCTGGATTAACCTTGACCTCTCATGAAAAGATTATAGGTCAATTGCCCACTCCTGGAACTAAAATGACTTCACAAGAATTATCTGAGGTTTGCTCAATTTTTAAGAGATATTTTTCAGCTGTGTTTAATGATGCAATTTGCAGTGGAGGACAAAGCTGACTCTGTGAGCTGTCAGTGGCTCAAGCATAGCATGATTTTTGTTGCTTATTCCAATTGAAGCATATTATAACATGTGCTTTGCTGATGTTTCTCAGACCTATTGTCTGGTTAAACATACATTATGCAAAGCTAAATCTGCCTATTGCAGGTCTTTCTTTAGGCCTGAAATGTTATCTAAATTATTAATTAGACATTAATTAACTTACCCAGACCATAATCACATGATGTCAACGCTAGCCTGCGATATTTACTGGATTACGATCAAATTTGCTGCTCAACTTTCTGATATACCTTAAATAGTAATCAGTCTACTGAATTGTGTGAACTTAGTTTGGGTGAACATACATTGTTTAGTCTTATTGTTTGTAACATTGTATCTATGTACAAGGCAGTCAGTTTGATATTAAACTTCATTGGATAAAGACTTGTTTATACTTTCATTTATGATTTAATCATGAAATGGATAATCGAGACTATAGTTTTTATCGTACCAACTTTAGTAATGATGATCAGGGCTAGGCTGAAAATTCAATCGCTAAAATCTTGGTTCAGAGTGGATCAATTTGACTGAAATTTTCAGCAAATTCCCTTAACATTATCTAGTTTTTATACGTCCACATTAATAATGTGGTCCTATATTGCCGTCGCCCCTGTATGTGTGTGTTTGTAGATGGTCCTTATCGAAGACACACATAAGGATTTAAACCTTCTATTTGCAGACATGGCCCGACCCGAGGACATCCTCGATTAGAACTGGCTATCCAGGCATGCTCAGAAGTCCCAAAATAGATATATCTGTAAAAATCACTTGATTATAATTCATACCTGGTTCTGTACCGTCAGGGTGTATCGGTGTGTTTAGCGTTTTTTTATCAAGAAAAATGTCGTGTGTATCGGCTCAATTTAAGATGTCCAATTAATACAAGGTCCTCGGTTATGGGTTACACACACACACACAAATGTTCACGTGCCGGTCAATTCACAGAGTGACGAACGCCATTTTGAATAGTAAGTGAAAACGAATACTACATAATAACAGATATATTCGTGGTACGTGGTGTCCTACAATCACCAACAGATACAAGTTTTGGTTCCTAGTATTAAATGCTGTGTCTTACAGTTAGTAACAGATACACACAGTGACTTATAAATATATACATGCCGTGTTTAACAGTACCAGATAAACATGTTGTCTTACAGTAACAGGTACACATGTTGTTTTACAATCCGCATCAAGGACACAGTGTGAGTCTTAGTAATAAATGCGTCAGTCAGTAACAGATAAACTGAGTAACATACATGTCGTGTATCACAATCAGCAACGGCTGCCAACAGTAACTTAGAATTCGTAACAGTTACATGTCATGTGACACACTGTAACCCTTGTATTGTCTAATATGGGGTTTATAGCGCTAAAAACTATGCATATAGTTTAATTTCAAAACATCGTTTGATATAGATAAAAATCGTTTTGAAACTACAAAAATCGTTTAATTAGTACTATGATTTAATTTAATAGTATACTGTTTAATTTCTACGAGAGGCGTTTAGAAATGGCCGAAGAGTTGACTTATCTAATGCGTTTATTTATTAGACGAGCCGTCCAATTTCCTGAGTTGCGATCAAAAATCAACACCTGCTAATTTATCTACTATGTTTAAATATTAGATGAATCATTTATTTTCCCGCGACCCGTTTATCTGATCGGCTCATTTTGATTACGATTATTTGCATATGAAGTGCGAATAAAAAAAGCACACCCATAGATGCTCACCTTACCGTGGTCGTAGTTTTATTATCCATTATCCATTGACAAATACATCAAAAATCGGTAATTATACATATGGAAATCCGTAAATCACATCCCATTCGTTCGTTCGTTCGTTCCTGGAGTTTTACGTCCAGTTCCACCTGAGGTGATATCGTAGACAAGTCACACACATCCCAGGTAATGTATCTTCTTCAAATCACAAATGAATTAACTTCCACCTGTAGACTTCACAGGAAGAGAAGTCAACCCCGCAATGTAATGTTGAACGACGATAATCTCGTGAGATTTCTCAATGGCGCCAAAATCTCTATAGACAAGCTGTCGCCCATTTTCAGGCAGGTTAAACAGTATCAACAGGAAATATGCTTCAATGAATACTGCCTAGATGTTACGTAAACACTTGACTGCAGTACAATGATTTTTGCTATACCCGAATCAAATATTGTATTAAATCAAAAGTAAATTATCACTACCCCAATGTATTACAAAAATAATTTGTTGGGGAGGTCATAACGCAGATTGGGCAACGGTGTTAAAAAACAATATACTAAAAGGGAAAAGAAAAAAAAAAGCGAGGCCCTTCTCTACCGAAAAGCCTCAGCATGCCAGATAAGTTTAAGGCCATACACAATCAAAAGTATTATTTTAAAAAAAACAACAACAATACTGTATTTAATAATATTCACTGACTTGAAATAATTCACGTGTATTACAACCCATATATAATTAACAAGAATTTTATATACTTCACCAGTATTTGATATATTTCGCGAGTATGTCACCTGTCCGAGTCTGAAACTCGGGCCATTTTTATTTGAGTCCGAAATGACGCGGGATCGAAATGACATAAACATAAAACATAAAAAAATCTCAAGTAATAATCGCATTGTTTGGATTGCTTCATTTAATAAGCTAAGTGAGAGTTTGGTTGTATTTACATACGTAATTCAATTTTAAATAAAATGTTAAACACTTAATTAATTGCTAAGTATTAATAAAAAAATGATTAACTGAGTGAGATGTATGAAACTTTATATACCGGTAACAATTATGGAAATTCTTGTATATATGATGTAATAAAAACATTATAGTCAATGATAAAAAAAATCAGTTCCCGGGAAAGTGTGACAATTCTTTAACAACCAATGGTTTTCTCAAATTAGTTTAAAATTAATACAGACATAAATCTTTAAATGGTTATAAAGCTGTGATACCTGACCAAAAGTTGTTACATGTATGTTTTTCTTGATAAAATATTAAAATTAAAATGAAAAAGACCGAGAATAAGCTTACGGTCACATACATGTATAATTGTGTTAACTCGTCCACACAAATCCGAATTTATATCATTGCACCTCGAATTCCGTATAAGAATCAGCTTAGAATACCAAAATGCGAATCGTAACACATTGTGGTCTAAACTGTCATAAAATAAATGATAAATCAATGGCACCTGTTAGATGTTGGTTTATTTAAGGCGCCACGTAGTCTTAACAATTGAATACAACACGTCTCGAAAAATCGGCTACATGTAAATGTATTCTTTGATCTCATATCACGGGGGCAATTCCGTAACCAACCTTCATGAACCTAAAAACATTACAAGTTCTGCCATGATAATTTCGTTGCACTTCTTGCAAACCGATGAATCGGATATATTTAAGTGTTTGAGATCGCTTTATTTAACGTCCGCTTCCACCGAGGCGATATCGCAGACAATAACATGTTATGTATACTTGTGCAATATTTTACATTGTGATTAGTTAAAACAGTGATTGAATAATTATTAGATATTTATATATATGTACAGTAAAAAAGGTATTGACAATTGTCTTTTAACTACGATTATCATATTAGTCATTAATCACCTCTGAATCTATATCCCCATACACATTAATTACAGAAAGGGTCTGTGTATACACGCCATTGTGAGCGATTCACTTTTTGGTCATCCGATGGTTATTTTGAAAATACACGTACATTACAAAGTCATAAATGTCCGTTATTACAGTATAGATTGATTATTTGATTGGTCGAATGCTACTGTTTTATTATTTCCCACCTGTGATCACATGTCTGGGTACTATATGAAACCATGGTTTTGAATACACATTCCGTTATTACAGTATGGATTAATGCTTTGATTGCTCTAATGCTATTGTTTTATCACTTTCCACCTGCCTTACTTGTGATTGTTTTTATACGCCCACATTGAAATGTGGACGTATATTGCCGTCGCCCCCGTTCGTCCGCCTGTCGGTCCGTCCGTCCGTCCGTCCATCCATCCATCGTCCACAATTTCTTGTGAACGCTCTAATGCCAAAAGTTATCATCCAATTGTTTTAAAGTTGATATGTTGTTTACATTAGTGAGATGAAGAAGCCTATTTAATTTCAATAATTTCTGTTTATTACGTCTAGAGTTATGGCCCTTGTTTTACTTTGTTGAACCTTGTGAGCGCTCTAATGCCAAAAGTTAACATACGATCTTTGTGAAATTTATATGCAATATTTAAGTTAGTGAAACGAAGAAGCCTATTGAATTTCAACAATTTCTGTTTATTACGTCTAGAGTTATGGCCCTTGTTTCACTTTATTGAACCTTGTGAACGCTCTAACTCCAAAAGTTATCATCCGGTCTTTCTGAAATTTACATGCATTATTTAAATTAGTGAAACGAAGAAGCCTAATGAATTTCAGCAATTTCCGTTTATTACTTCTTGAGTTATGGCCCTTGTTTCACTTTATTGTACCTTGTGAACGCTCTAACGCCAAAAGTTATCATTCGATCTTTGTGAAATTTATATGCATTATTTAGATTAGTGAAACGGAGTAGCCTATTCAATTTCAGCAATTTCCGTTTATTACGTCTAAGAGTTATGGCCCTTGTTTCACTTTATTGAACCTTGTGAACGCTCTAACGCAAAAAGTTATCACCCGATCTTTGTGAAATTTTATATGCATGATTTAAATTAGTGAAACGAAAAAGCCTATTGAATTTCAGCAATTTTACTTCTAGAGTTATTGCTCTTGTTTCACTTTGTTAAACCTTGTTAATGCTCGATTGATGATAGTTATCATCCGATATGTATGAAATTTGTAAACCCTCAAACGACAAAATTTATAATCTGATCTGTATGGAACTGTCTTGTAAAGGC